GGTGTTCTTCAGTGATGTGAATGAGCAGAGTCCTAGACAGAGAAAGCAAAGGGAGTTACTAAGTAGGTTTCCAAGTAGTCACAGACCTTACAGAGAAGCTTATTCCACCCACGAGGGATTTTAGGTTATCTATGTGCCGCACAGTCACAAGACCATGATGCAGCGGATGTGCTATACTTGCGCTATGAGTAGTGCAACCCGTGGGCGTGTTTAAGCTCACATACCGCACTCCATATATGGGCGTAACCATCTTTCATAAAGTTAAGATTCAAATCTGGCGGCTACTGCTGAATTTCTAAGTAACTCTTTCTGCAGGCCGAGGCATAAAATATAGATACTTTGTATTAATGTGAGTTACGGATAATATCGATGCAAATCAACGAGATGGCGTTTCCATGCAAATATATCCCTCTACCGAGCATTTTAATTGCATTAAAAAAATATAATAAAAAAAAAAATGCACTGGCCAATGGAGCTTATACTATTTATAATACACGATTTGGGTAAAAAAAAATATATTGACTACCGCATTGTTTTCAGTTCCACATAAAGAAAGTGGCTTTTGAAGGCTACTGTAACTGAGACGCTCATTCATTCATCAACATTATGAGAAATAACGAATAAACTGGAGACAAAGAGTCAAGCAGTGAATTTAAAACCATTTCTAAACTAACTGAATATAGATTATTACGGCTCAACTTACCAAATAAATGATCTCGCAGTTGTTCTTGTTTGATTGTTTCGAGCGAATAGTCAGTACTTGTGTCTCTTCCGCTAGTTGAAGCGCTAATATAGCGGAGGGTCAGAGTAGCTGGAATTTTCCACTGGCTTTTTTTAAGGGGGTGGCGCTTATCTGACTTAACTTGACTTAAAGCCAATCACAAGTTTCTATATTGTTACTTTATTTTGATTGGAAGGTAGATACATCAATCATTAGCTGATTCACCAATTACAGCTTTACACTGCTTAAACCTAAAAAGAAAGAAGCTATTTTTTTGTTAAGTTTAAACCTTCAGTTTTTCAGAAACAAAACCTCACTGTTAGATTAATTTGAAACTGGTCTTTGTTGGGAGAGATTACCCCATTCTTAGTAAAGAAGTCCTTCCCCATGTCTCAGAATAATCTCAAGTTAAAAGTGGATTAATCCTATTAAAATCGCCATGGCTTTGAGATTTGTGAAATGTGCTGTCCGACTGCTAATGGTGTTATTCGCTTCGATTCTACTCTATTCTAGCACCCAGGGGCAACTACGGTGCTTCTTTAAATGACTGAACTTGCTTTTATTTAATCACAATTAGCCACTGTTTTCTGCTGGGCAGATCAAGATGTTGAATACAAAACGCATCATTAGTTCAAAAAATATATGATGAATTGTTTATAAAAGCTCATGCACTGAAATATTTATAAATTCTGCTTTCTATTTTCTACTATTGCCTCTCACGGTCAGGATTTTCTCTTTACTTTCCTTCAGCAAGATAGCTGTGGGTGGGAAAATGTACCCTGTTCTCTTATCAGTCGTAGAATAGTTTGAACAGGCTGTGATGAGCAGGTCTGACTGTGTCCAGCTGGATGAATCAGATAGAGTGATAATTTGCTCACGAAGAAAAGGTATCTTCATCAATAAACCCATATTATAGTCATAAAGGTTTTTCTTTATGGTCAAATAAACGTGGCCTTAAAGTTTAAATGAGAGACACAAGACAGCATATCAAATTACTCAAAGGAATGTTTCCCGGTTTTAGTCACAGCAGTGCATTGTATAAGGCTTCAGGTTTTTACAATGTATTTTTTAACCACATAATTTGGAAAATTCCGGAGTGAAAGATCTAGAGGCTTTAAAGGTGTGGAGACATCCCCAAACCAGGAAGTCGTTTACCTCTAACACCTACAGCCAAAAAAAAAAAAAAAAAAAAAAATAGTGGGAGGTGCATATAACTTGAATGTCAATTTTTGCAAGCGATTGTCTCTTTCATAACCACTATATAGTCATTTCTTCTCTGCTCACTGTTCACTGTAATAACTTGTAACAACATGCCCTAGTGATGATCATCTAAATAAAAAATAGTTTTTCTGAGAACCTGTCATATAGAAAACCCAAAATCTTTTATACAGGCAACATGGTGTGAAACTATATTATAAGAAGAAAAGAAAAGCTTAGGGAATCACCAAAGTCAGGGGGATATGTAATATCTATAGCACGAATAAAGATATTTCACAAAATAAGTAAAAAGTCATTTTGGAACTAGAAGTAAATTTAGAATAGAGGAGCAAGTCAGTGGAAAAGGTCACTAGGACAAATCATAATACTTTCTTTCATCACGCTCAAAACAGTTGAATGAAAATAAAAAAGACGAGAAAAAGACAACATCACATAAACCTATTTCTGTACAAATGTGTTTTAAGAATTGGTCTGAACAGAGTGACTGATTCTACAAACTTTGCAAACTAATTTTATACTAAACTGAAGTGTTTGACAAGCAGACCAACCACCAATGACTTTTCCTGGACCCACTGGCGATTCCAGTGCTGCAAAAAGTTCTCACATTTTTATCTAGCTGAATAAACACAACACAAGCAAAACTTTATGGTTTGTCTGAATGAACGCGTAATCGGTATGTGCACAACATAGCTGGTTGCTTTGGAATGCTGACAGAGGCAAATTCCATGCTTTTATCCGTTAGGGTATTCAGGTTTTCAAAACTACACAACAAACTACACACCACTACAAACTTTCAGCCAAGCACATCAGACCATTGTGCCATACCAGACTGATTATTCTGGAGTCATGTCTGGTCAAATTTTAATACTAACAAAGATAACTCTATGTGATAAAAACATTTTACCTTCTCAACACATCAAAATTAGGAGGGGTGGGGAAAGCATATGTAGCACAATATTTTATATTTAGTGACAAAGTCAGGACACTGAAATGCCTCATCCCAAAATGGATAACACTGCGCCATTTTGTCAGCTGACTTTTTGCAAGGTTAAACAGAGTATCAGGTTGTGAGAAGCTGTACAAGCTCAAAGCCGACTAGTGGCTCAGAGCACCTGTGTCATTGTTGTGTAAACTTGTCCCACTTCCTTGTTTTCCCTTCATAGAGATAAGGTTTAAAACACCATAATCATGTCAACCATTAGTGTAGTTAAACTTCTTATAAGGGGTTATGTTGAGGAATAAAAGTGAGAAACAGCCTTTAAAGGTCTTTAAATCAGATGTTTTGTTGGCTTTTAGGTCACAGGACTTTTTTTGTGGTTCATGTTAGACTCACTTATCTTTAAAATGTTGTAAAGTGTTAAAATCCGTGAGGGCTGCAGAGCCAATAAAAAAACTTCCATCAGTGGAAAGACATTTTAAACAGAAGCTATCAGAAAAAAGAGAAAGCCTGTTATATATGTAAAGACTGAATATGATCATGAAAGAGAAATGTCAAAGAGCTCCACATGAAAGACTTATCATGCATTCTCACACTCTGAATTGCTGAGCTATAAATAAGCTGCAGCTGTCCCCCAAAATTCCTGCTGTGCACTGGAAAATACACATATAAACACTGCATCAAACTGATAGTTACAGTGGACAAAGTCACACATTAATTCTGGTTTTGTTGAGTCTTCTAGTTATATTGTTTCCAAAAAATCTAGTAATGTATTTAACAACCTCAAGGACAAGACATTTAACCATTGTCTCTATAAAATTTCAATAAAAACCAAATGCAAAAGTTTGCAAATCTTTTCAAGGTGACAATATTTTTGGTTTAATAATTAAAATGGTTTTAGTGGGTCAATGGTCCGGACTGCAGGCTTACCACATTAGCACTTCTTTCATTAAGCCGTTCTTTTGGAACATATGTAGACTCTGGTTTAGCTTTTTTGTTTTGTTTCGGCTTACACCGAAAAAGATTTTATGTTAGGACGGTGTTGCAAGACCTGTATGAGCGTTGAGTATTAATGGTGCCTGAACTGGATAAGCAGTTAAGAAAAAGAAAGATATACTGATGACTCACAGAGTAAGAACCCATCACCACTTTTACTTCTAGAATACTCTGAGTATCTGGGATGCATTTTTCATGCCCAATTGTGTCACAAAT